TAATATGTATATTAAGATGCATTTTATACAATTTCGGTTTTTGTTGAAATTTGCCCCCACCCCTAAATCCACCCCCTCACCCTCATCATATCATATCAAATACTAGAGACTTGAGCTTCGGCATATGCATACATTTAAACAATATGATTACGTTCTGAAACTTGCATATATAGTATGCATTAGTATTAGAAATACATCTAATAACGGCAGAAATTAACTCGATAAATGCACTGTATATACGTACTTATCAAACGAAATTTTGCTATATCGAGCTCTTTTATGTATATTCTTACAAACATTTGGACCGAAAACCGGACAGAGCTAAATCGACACAGCTCGTTGCCCTGATCAGGAAGTTATATTCCTTATTTGGTGTGTCACACCTGTGTCTGCTTGCCACATACTGTTTAATATTCCATTTCCCATTTTCAATAGGTGCAGGGTATACATATGAACTACTCAATTTCATGCACACAACGAAAAGTTTTTGTAGAATGTATCAATCTGAATAACTGGATTATTTAATTGATGTTCGGTTTTTTGAATGTTCATTTGTATATATATGTCTTAAACCTGAATTGATCATAAAAAATTAGTCAGGAGCATTTTCTAATCGGGTAATATCCATATGCTAATTGTATAGTTGAAGGGCATTTAATTTAATTTAATTAATTAATTTAATTTGGCATGATTTGTTCAAGCTTGTAGCTTCTTTATTTGATAATAAAATTTCAACATCGCCAACAATTAGCATTATCAGTCGGTAAAATTCAGAAATTCGCATAACATAAAAATATCAACATTTTGCTAATAGGCTTGTATATTTCCGTAATTAGAAAACAGGGCGTTGGAACGCTATGCACGTCCGCATTGCGTGGGAAATTTACTATCACCAAAATAAGCAGAATTCAGATAAACCCGTGCTAGCGGGAGGTTCTACTCTTGGCAACATTTGTAGCAGCGGTAATTCAGGCACTTCTAGTGTACCTAATAACACAAATAGTATGAGCAGCACACCGGCCGTCGTCTTATCCGGAAACACCAGCGCTGCTTTACCCACCAGCGGAACCGTGGGTGGGGCAACTGGATCTGCAGCATCAGTCAATATAAAACCATCGCCGTCGTTAACCCTGAATTCAGCATCGCCGCACCTCTTACATAGGTCCACTGAACTTACGACTGCTGCGACTTACGCCAGATCCCCATTTGAAGCTTCACCACTAGCTGCAAGCTTTATTGGAGCACCACCTAGTCATATCGGTAAGATTTTGCTGAAAAAATTAATTTTGCGATGCTTTTATTTATAAAAACTTGACAGGCACAGCTGTTTCCCAATTTAGTCGGTACGTAGGATCATTTGGATTTGCCGGTCTATCACATTTCGGACGAGATATTTCATTGAGTGGACATTTGGATACATGGAGGTAAGTTAATTTTACAAATTGTCGCGTGAAACTTATAACTATAAGATTTTCTACGCATGATATACATATTCGATTTAATATTACACATTATTGCTAAAACACATACTAAAATACAAAGTTTACTACATCTGCATCGAGAATTTCATTTAATCGTCACTATTAAATTATACAGTTAGGTTTTATTGATTTTATTGGAATAACTGATGTTTAACAAGAAGGCTCTAGTCGAGACTGCTCGACTAGGAGATACCCTGAACCCTCCGGTCTGCACTTCTTTTATGCACACACACATACACATGCATCCACACGCATGCATAAGCCCGCGCTCTGCTAACTG